AAAATACGTTCCAAACGTTTGATACATTTCTGAATTGGTAATCGTTGCAATGTATTGATAAGTTTTCTATTTCCTTTAAATTGAATGTTGAACCGTTAATAAATTATAAAAACGCATTTTCTATCGAATTTCGATCTATAAAATGCTTATAAAAATGAAGAAGTGGCCCAGATGTTAAAAAAAATGGTAGTAGGGAGACAAGGGGTCTGAAGAATAAGGTGGGTGAGGTATTGTATCGGCAATTAGGCAAAAAAGTGCAGCGCAAACTTCATAAGGAAGATTTATTAGACGGTCGTTTTATGCGTTAGGAAGCTAGGAAGTTTCATACCTTCCTTACTTGTCCAATTGTGTTGAGGTGGTCAGTGATGGTCGATTTGCTAAGAATTTTGTTTGTGCTTTCCCCTTCCTCACTTTTTAGGCTATAAGAGGTTTCTCCCGGACCGGGGAAAGGGCGGAGGAATTATACCGAGATAAAAATTCCACCAGCATCGGCATTTGAACTCATAACTTTCAGTTTATCATCGGGTTTCCAAGGCAAGGCGTGTTTTACACAACTCGTTAACCCGTTCGGCCACACTTCTCTTATTTTCCTAAGAGTTCTTGAACAGTTGTAATGGGACCAAAGTTCTCAAAATATCACTTTCAGTCTGTTGATTTAGACAAAATAGTTGAGGTATCATCCCTGGCACATAAAAACCTTAAATAAATAATTTCAGTTTCCAACGAATTTTCGTTTATTGAGCTAGGCTGTTCACAGACCATATTGCGGTACTTACACTCGGTACTTACACTTTGGTATTTACACTCAGGATACCTCAAAACGTGAATTTCTGTTGAAAACGCGAATTCGAAAACTTTCACGAGTACAATACCTACCCTTACAATATAGTTCATAAATATGTAAGGGAAAGAAAAAAAAAAAAAAAGATCGCAACACGCAACTTTCACTTACCGCTCTACTTTGAATAGAATTTATTTTCTGACCATGTTGGTCGAGAGCGACAGCCTATAATTAAATCTTTGAAAATTAAATATTCAAATAAATCTGCTCTGATTTGTTTGGAATTGTATAGAAGTAACTTCAAACGCTTAGAAAAAAAAATTCTTTAATTACACATCAGAATTCTGACTTACACCGATAGAATTATGTTATTGTGATTAGAAAGAAAGTAAAACGAGAGCCTGTTCAATAACATACAATAAGACGTTGATAACACCCGATCGGTTTCCAACGAACTGCATTAAGCCGACCACAATATCTGAAAGAAATAACCTGGGCTCTGTGAAAGAGCGATAAGAATTGAAGTGGTTGAGCCGTCGTCGAAGCCAGTACGGATTGGAGGTTGGTATTGATAGATCTAGGAGGCCAACATTATATAGCTTTAATAACTCTTCCAGATTCTTTCAGACTCTTGCCAGATTCTTCACTCAAGACATGTGTGTATGTGGCTAAAGTGCTCTCGACCAATCTCCGCTGGCTGTAGTACCAGTGACGCGGTTGGGAGAGTAGCGCAGGGTTCTCCTGGAGTTCCCTCGCCTGATTGTATATAGGTATGCATGTGTTTTTTTTTCTTTTCTTAGTTTTAATTTTCTTATTTTTTAGGTTATTTTATTTTATTGTCTATTGTATATACTTTTGATTATTATTTTGTTCTATTTATTTTATTTTTTTTGTACATATGGTGTGAATGTCATCTTACCTCACTATAACCAATGTCCAACAGACTGATTGTTATAATACTCAATAAAGAAATTAAAAAAAAATAAATAAAAAAATAACTAAAGAATCTCTAGACAATTTTTATTTGGTATTATAATATTACATGTATTCTCTAAATCAAAAAGTATATCTTAATTACATTAATTAGTTATTACCTCAACAATCAATATGTAGGTAATTGTATAGGAAAACGACTTATGAGAATGCATTTTAATACAACTGAAACTTTTTGTTATTGAAATAAGAAGCAGCTTATCGAGATTGACAGAATGTATAAAACTAACCATACATGGTCAGCCGGAGTTATATTCTGAGTGGATTGATATTCCGATTGATCGTGTAAGGTTATGATTGACGTATTGGTGAACTGTACTGACGTATTTCCGAATATCCTGAAATCCAAGCTTCAATCACGAGAAGCGGAGGGAAGACTAATCTAGGAACTGGGTAAGTTAGTTTGCCTAGATTTTACAACAGATGTATATTCCCAATATTCAATTAAAATAAACACTTTTATATATTTCTGAACGTTTTTAAACTCTCTTACAATGAAATTAAACAGTAAAATATGCAATATATTTTTTTAAATATTTCATTATTTAATAGACATTTTACTGGTAAGTGTATAAATATATTTTACCCACTCAATTTCTTCGATTGTTAATTAACATTGCTTTTGTTCTTTTGTTTTTTGGAAGATCGTGAGTTTCAGTCAATAAACTAAAAATATTTTGCACCATTTCGAGACTTCATTTTCCTCACAACAAAAAAAAAAATATATAAATTGGACTGGAATTATTACCTTCTAAAATTACAAAATATTCTAAATCAAGTCAAAATGATATTAATTGAAGAGACGGCATTAGACTTACTATTGTTAAATATTCCACGATTGAGTAAAATGGGAAACTTTTATTTCCTATATCGTCCGGTTTTTCCTGTATTCTCTAGAAGACCATTATATTGTTATTATTATTTTATGATATTTATTATTGTATTGTATAATATTGGTGTTTGTTAATGATTTTTATTTTCAATTACTTATATATGTAATATATATTAAGAGCAAGTATTGCGATCATGAAAATTGTTTAATCTGAGTTTTCAACAGAAATGCACGTTTTGGGGTACCTTGAGCCCAAATAACCAATCCCCGAAAAATGGTCTGTGTGTCTATGTGTTTTTATGTTAGCAATCTAGCTCAAAAACAAAAGGTTGTACGAAACTGATATTACGTATTTAAGATAGATATACGCTTAATATGTGCCAGCAACTTTTCCCTTAAAATCGGCTAACCGGAAGTGACATTTTATATTAACGGTGAAACACCTTTTTACAATTTTCTGAAAAACGGCCCTAACAATTTTGATTAAACTCGGTGTATAATGAAGTGGCCTTTAATACCATTTAGGTCTTATTCCCGTTGATGTCAAATCACTTAATTCCGCTTTAGTGAAATTTGCAATGGAAAATGAGAGTTTAATAAATAATAGTCGTACAATCCATAATCAGTAGAATCAAGCACCAGTTTTTTTTTTTGTTCAATTTCAACTGGATTCATTTAGATTTTAGGAAAATAACTTTTTATTTATTGGGTCATTCTTGTATCTATCTCAAGGAAGTTTGTCTTTGATATCGCTTTTGAAATTGTTTCTTAGGAGATGTATTATTGCTAGAATCACATTTAAATTCATATAAGTCATATGAACAATAACAAGTCGTTCCTTTGAAATGAATAGTGAGGACAGTTTGATAAAGTTTATTAGTTTTTTGTTATCGATGTGCAAATACGATTTGTGTTGATATAATATACTCTTTGTTTGAGGTATCGTTCTAAAGTTTCAAAATAGGATTTCCCATAGTTTCCTTCACAAAGAATTTCATACACTATATGTCTTTGGTTTTACTGATGATTTCAATAAACAATTATTCTTGAATGCGTTGGTGTAGTCATTATTTATGTTAGTGGTAATTGTTTTTGCTAATCATTCTAAAATTATTTGTATTTATGGAGTTTTTTAATACTGGTCTTATATTGTAGTTTTTCGTCGAGATAATTATGGTGTCTGTTGTGTTGTAGTAAATGACAACTAAATATATAAGGGCATCTATTTATTAAAAGGACCAACAAATGAAAAATATACGCACGTTTAAATAATATATAAACTCGTTAAAAGTACACCCAAAAATCTTTCATATTTATCAAGGAGATTATGTGTACAAATTATAAGTTAGTATACATTTTTTTAATAGATTATTTTCTAAATAATATTTGATGTTGTTTAAAAATCAGAACTTCTAGCATCACTGTCTTAATTTTTTATAAGTTAATGTAATATTAATAAGCCTTATATTTGTTATACGGTTCGAAAAACTGCAGAACTTGTTACGAGAAAGGTTATGAACGACTTGAGTTAACTTTCTTTTTTATCTTGGGTTAATTCCTAAATTTGCTTTGCTAAATTAATTTTTACTGCATGTTTGTTGAGATTCGTTGTGGTTGAAGCTCAAAATTTCACCCATATTTTTCTAATCCAATCAGAATAACATTGGACAAGATAATTTTTCTTCGAATTTCCAGTATTTTTAGTATGCAAGGCAGTAATCGATACAACTTTTATATCTAATTACTACCATGATAACCTTTCATGTCATCTAAGTTTTAAATAAAATTTTCCAACGACAAAAGTTCGGATGAAATAAATTAGACAAGGAACAAGAGGCAGCAGTAAAGAAAAAACTCTGGTCCTCGAAAGTTCCTGAGGGCCATTCCTTATGTAAGGTCGCCAGTCGCCTCAGCCAAATGTTGCAGTGTTCAACCTAAACCTCTTCGCATAGGTCAATAAGTTATCCTGTTTGTCAGGAACGGATATCCGCCTAGAACTGTTCGGTATTTTCAGAAACTACTTCTCGGGTCATTGACTCCCACGATCGACTACAGCCACTTAGTTCATCACCTAGGGTTTCCCTTCATGGCTCCATGACTGGAGTAGTGAAGGCCCTATCAATTGATAACAAAATCCACGAAAGGAATATAAATACTTTTGCTGTACTAATCGATGCAATTGTGTATATGCAGATATTACTCTAAACATTTTGATATATATATATATATATATATATATATATATGTGTGTGTGTGTGTGTGTGTGTGTGTGTGTGTGTGTGTGTGTGTGTGTGTGTGTGTGTGTGTGTTAACTTTAGTGTTCAAGACATTATGACTATGATAAATATTTTATTATTATAAATAGTACTGATATTAGTATTATAACTATTTCAGAGTCGCTCAGCGGATCAGTGGCCTGTTTGAAGCCTCTTAAGCTACCACATGAAGAGGCCGGGGTCTTGAGAGTGCAGGTTCGACCTCCCAGCCCACCACACCCCGCAACTCGAAGGACGGAGCTTCTGCTCGGTGAGACCAAGCCCAAGGGAACTGTCTTCCAGCCTCCTCTTCTATTCGCTGCACAGGTCAGTACTTCTTAGTAATGTATTTTATATATCATATTGTATTGTAAATATACTTAGATATGATAAGCATTGAATAAAAGTCGTTCCTTAGAATAGACATACTAAAATACCGTTCCTGTATTTTTAAAACTTTTTTGGGGGTTAAAGATTTTAGGCAAAATCCTATTTTGCAGCTCTTCTCCATGAAACATCAATGAATGAACAACGTTTGGAAATAGACCAGCTATAAAAAGCGCAAAAAGAACTTTCTCATATCATCATATCACATCACTTTCTCAAGTATATTGAAATCCTGTAAAAACCCTTGAAAATAAAAAATTAAGAGTTTACAATGACATGATAAAGTCAGTTCTGATATACGGTTGCGAAACGTGGACACTGAACAGTATCCTAGAAAGAAGTATTGAAAAGTTTGAGATAAAAATCCTCCGTACGATAATTGAAGCATTAGAGTACTATCAGATGGAGGATAAAGACTGATAAATATTTGCTTACAGAAACCGGTTAATCAATATCTCATAATAAGTTAAGTTAATCTACACTACAATCAATGCCTCAATAGTAAGCAATAAAACAAAAATAAAAAATTAAAATAAAATAAAAAACCTGTATCACTACAACCCATATAAAGGATCCTGGGGTTCAGTGCTATTTAGGGAAAGCACTGTTTCTAGATCCACGGTTGTGCAAGGAGGTGATTTGACCGAGATCACGCTCAACCGCCAGGTTTTCTCCACTAATCAATTATTTAATTATGGGTACCCACTTTATAGAGGCTGGGTGTGCTCCAGGAGGGACTCCTGACCCAAGGTCGAGCCGGGGTTCGAACTCGGGACCTTTGCATTGGAAGCTCAGTGCCCTACCACTGAGCTACCCCGCTCCTCAATAGTAAGCAATAGAAAGCCTAAATTCAGATGAATAGATCTAATCAAGAAACATTATGTAGAGCTGCATGTAGATAACTGGAGAGAAATGGCCCAAGATAGGCAGAGATGGAGAATGCTGTTTGAGATCCCAGAAGATCTATAATACCTTTAATGCCTGCAAAATAAAAAGTATTTATTACGATTATTCATGAATTATATATACTTTTTTAATTCGTGAAACTACAAGGAAGATTCGTCGCCCTATTTTCATTATCTCCTCTTATCCATCTCTTCAGAACTTAATCTGATAATTTAGGGGGGGCTTTCTTCCACCACATCTTTCTGTTACACAGTGTTTTATATAATGAGTTACTCCACTTCCAAATAAATATGATTAAAAAAAATCATAAAGTGTTTGCTTTTGAGCACACGATAAAAGTGAAAACAACAGTACGGCGAGATTAATAATATGAAACATAAATTATAAATAATAATTCATTATAAAGAGGATGAAATGCTGAACATTTTCCTCGCTTACAGTATGCAGGTCCGGTTTTTAGTTTCTTAGATATATTAATTCATATCTTCAATAAACTCGCTCTCATTTGGTTTTCGAGACTATTCTTTTCCCTTTCGATCTCTATCACGGCGTCGTGTTAAGATATAATTTTAAATAATAGCTCATTACACAGGGGATGAAATGCTAAACAATCCCCTTGCTTACAGTATGCAAATAATTAGCAAATTGTTAGTTACTGAGATATTTTAATTCTTATCTTCAATAAAACTAGTTATCATTTGGTGTTCGACACTTTTTTTCTGCTATTCGAATCTCTAGCGCGGCCTCACATTTAGATAAAATTTTGGATAATAGCCCATTACAGAGAGGATGAAATGCCAAACAATTTCCTCTGCTTACAGTGCGTAGATCCGATTTTTAGTTTCTGAGATATTTTAATCTTTATGCAAAAACACTCCAAAAAGTCGGCTCCAGTCGACTTTAAACGAGCATTGCACATCGGAGATCTGACAGCTCAATCTAATTCACTCTCCACTTCAAAAATCATAATTCTAAAAAATGGCAACTAATCTTTCATCGAAGAAGATATTATGTTTTATTCTTTTTTTTTTTTTGGTTTTATATTGGTTCAGTCGTATTCCTTGGTTTTAGTCTTTGTATGCGAAACTCATGTAATATGAATATATATATGATAAAACAGGTCAGCGGAAACAGTGAGGACAATGCTCTTCAAAAGATATTTTGGAGGAGTAGGACACTGAGGAAGAGATATGTTGTAAATAAGTAAGATATGACTTATGTTCCATGTCAAATCTGGGGATCAGCCCTCTGGAAGTAATGCCTTTGTCTCGAGCAACATTCTCTCGGTCCCGTCTTTCTATCTTAATTCAACATTCAACCATCAAGATTCTTTTTTTTATTGAAATTTATATATATATATATATATTATATATTATATATATATATATATATAATATATATATATATATATATATGTATATATATATATACACACATACATATATACACACACGAACACACACTTGGAATATACGCAGTGTTTCTTTTTAATTTTACTAATGCTTACTTCCTTCTTCCTGTTCCACTTTTAAAACTTTAATTTTTTTTCTTTTTCATGCTTAATTTTTTTTTTATTCACGTTTTAAAAAACTACAATAACACTGTTTTACAAACACGAGAGGTTTAAAACCTTAGCTAAAAAAAACTTCTGCTACTCTGAAATTGGCCATTTAAGTCCATTTTTACGACCTCACAAAAAAAAAAAAAAAAAAAAAAAAAAAAAAAAAAAAAAAAAAAAAAACGGAAAGAACCGGTGATGAAATAATCTGACCCATTTCATGTAAATTTTAGTTTTATGTTGCGTGCGTTTGTGTTCCTCCGACGATTAGAAAGTCGTTAAAGTTAATGTCCCAAATTTAAACATAGGATTAAAACCTCTCAATTGTATTAAAGTTTATTTATATTTTTAAAATAATTATACTAATTAACGTCTTATAGTAATGTATATGACGAATCAACAAATATTATCCTCTTTTCAGCGACCCATTTACTCTTTAAATAATACTAAACTCGTAAAAAAAAATTAGGTTCGAAATATCTAATGTTTCTACACTAGCTTTCCAACATATTTCATACACATTATAACGACAGTAAATTTGTTAATGAACAATAAATTTATAACTTTTTCTTTTTTTAGCGTTTTAATGCGGTCTTTCATAAATTGTGTCATTTATCGGATTAAAGGAACAGGTTGATCGAGGCAACAACATTTTAAAAACTGGTATAGTAGTTCTTCCTGTTATCTGCTTGAAAATCATCAGGTAGAATAAATATTTAAAAAATAGATGAGTATAACAAATTAATATGCCTTGAAGTTAAATAAAAAAAATAAATAAGTGTTACCTTAGAAAATTAGGGAATGAATAACGCATGAATTTCAAATTTCTTTATTTTTTGGAACATTTATAGAACGAAAATAAATATTCAAGTTTCGACAACATGATTGAATATAGGTCACACCATTCCGACCCACTTTCCTCAATATTTTCTGCCGGCTCACCTTCTTACCTGTTTTTAATATATATTTAAAAAATATATATTTTGAAATTTGAAAACAAATACTGTTCCAAAGTATCAGAGTAGATAGTCCCAATTAATCCCAGAGTGCAATAGCAGCTCCTCGCTTATCCTTCGACCATGTGCGGCTTTTGACTCTTGAGTCCCAACAGGCCGGCGGTCGCTAAGCTCCCTGTGGAAGTCCCTGATCCGGCTCCTAAGCTCGCATTCAACTAAGTCCAATCCTGAGGGCCTCATACTATTCAGTTCGCTCTACATTGCCTACTCTATACAAAGTGCCCATCACAGGACTAATTCCTTTTCGAGCGAGTGCCGTAGGTTACATACAGGATGTCTTAGCTATGTCATATGAGCTCCAATTATCTTATTTATGCCTTTCTACGTGTCTCGAATCTATTAGTTTCTATATCTTTATTTCATTTCTAAGGTAATCTCTTGTTTAATTTATTAACAATTTAGTCGTATTATTCTTTAAGGTTCGAAAGTGCCTAAATAATCACAAGGATTATTCAGTATTTTTAACATATCGGCTTGTCTTTTTTTCCCACATGTTCAGACAATCTTCATCCCTGATTTTGACCAATAATTTGTTCATATAATCACGATCCTCGCCTGAAGGCTGTAAAACTTCGAACCTATTCCTAACATCTGGCTCGAATGGATTTCTAATTGATGATTTATTTTTTTACTTTTTCAAAATAAAATTTAAGATTACTATTCTCTTTTAAGCTTTTGTAGAAGTTTCGAAATTGCAAATTTATGACATGATTCACATTCTGTGACGCGATAAGACCTTACATTAATTATTCAATTTTGCTACCTATGTTTTATCAAGACGTGATCGATTTGATTTAATTTTTGAGAATCCGTTGATGTCCAAGGATATCTATGAATATACCTATGTTTAAACGTAGTAATTTTAATTATTGAGTTTTTCGAAATGGCAAATTTTACTATCCGAATTTCATTATCACTACTAAAATCATGTAAACTTTCTATCCACCTTCCACTGCCACCTTTGCATTCGCATCTCCTAGAATTATTTTTATACAGCTTCGCGATAGTTTACCATAAACCCACCCCAATTTATCATTAAATTAGCATTTAGCTTCATTATCACTGTCTTCGGTTGGACAATGTATGTTTATCAACTCGATTTTAAACCAAAGCTCCTGGAATATGACATTCGAAATTCTACCACTAGATATCAGTATGCCTCTCAAAGCGGATAGTAATCTATACCCAATTAGAAACCCGGTATCTAAACAACGATTCTCACTTCCTCCATACCAAATAGTGTACTTACTTTTTTTTACGGAATTCTCCCCTGACTAGCGAACCTCTTGCTACAATTCTAAACTGTACCCCTTCACCTCGTTTGCGACCGATTATAACCGACCAGCTGTATTCAAACTCCTTACGTTTCACGTCACTTTACTTAAATCTCTAATTTTCAACTTGCTCCATGTATCCCTCAAAGCAGTCCTAACCACCTAGAAGGCAGAATTAGGGGAGTAGTTTACATCCGGATA